GGTTTAAGAGTTGATTTGCAGAGCAGAGGAAAGAATTGCTGAATTAGAAGACAGGTATGCATCCAGAAAGAAGCAAAGGAGGGAGAAAAACAGAAGGGAGCACAAGACACAGTGGTGGATACAATGAGAAAGCCCAGCATACGGCCCGTCGGAGTCCCAGAAGGTGAAGAGGCAGCGAATGGGAACAGACAGTGTTGATGAGATAGTGACAGAATTTTCTAAAACTGACAAAGAATATAAAGGGGCAGGGAAGGAAGCCCTGGAAGTGCTAATGCTAATTAGGCTAAATAAAAATAGTTGCATGTTTTGTCACATAATAGTTAAATTGCAGAAAAACCAATAAAATAATCTTCAAAATAGGCCAAGATTACCTTCAAAGAAGCAGCAATTAGACTGAGGGCCGATTTCTGAACAGTAACAAAGCTTATCAGAAGACAATGGAAAAAATAATAGCCAACTTAGAATTTTATACTCAGAAGGTACTCAGTTTTTCAAGAAGAAAAATGAAATAAAAAATGCCTCCAGATAAATAAAAATGAGAACTTTTTGGGGAAAGCATTGCACTAAAATAAATACTACTAAAGATGATCCCAGATGGAAGAACAGAGATAAGGGAATAAGAATAATAAAAATGGGAAATATGGGAATCCATGTAAATTAACATTGATTATACACAACAACAGTAATATGTCTACACAAGCTTCAAGGATACGTAACACAAAAATGATAGTAAGACAGAAGGTGAGAAAAGAATAAAAAAGTGGAGTTAAAATGTTTCAATGTTTCTTCTTGCAACTAGATTGCAAGTTGTAAAATTTTATTTTAGGTTCAGGTGCAGGTTTGTTATATAGGTAAATTGTATGTTGCAGGAGTGTGGTGTACAGATTATTTTACCACCCAGCTCATAAACATAGTGCCCTCTAGGTAGGTTTTAATTCTCACCCTCTTTCCTCCTCCACCCTCGAGCAGGTTTTGGTGTGTGCTTTTCCATTCATTGTGTCCATGTGTGCTCAATATTTAGCTACCACTTACAAGTGAGAACGTGTGGTATTTGATTTTCTGTTCCTGTGTTAGTTCACTTAGTATAATGACCTCCATTTCCAGCCATGTTGCTGCAAAGGACATGATCTCATGCTTTTTCATGGCTGTATAGTATTATTCCATGGTGTGTATGTACCACATTTTCTTTATCCGGTCCACTGTTGATGGGCATTTAGGTTGATTCCATATCTTTGCTATTGTGAGACGTGCTGCCATGAACATACATATCCATGTGTCTTTACATCAGAACAACTTCTGTTCTCTTGGGTATATGCCCAGTATTGGGATTGCTGGGATGAATGGTAGTTCTGCTTTGTGTTCTCTGAGCATTCACCAAACTTTCCACAATGGCTGAACCAGCTTACATTCCCACCAGCCGTGGAGAGGCGTGCCCTCTTCTCCGCAACTTCACCAGCATCTGTTATTTTTTTACTTTAAAAATAATAATATTCCATGGATGAGTTCGTGTCCTTTGTAGGGACATGGATGAACCTGGAAACCATCATTCTCAGCAAACTGACACAAGAACAGAAAATCAAACCCTGCATGTTCTCACTCATAGGCGGGTGTTGAACAATGAGAACACATGGACATGGGGAGGGGAGCATCACACACTGGGGTCTGTTGGGGGAAATGGGGGAGGGACAGCGGGGGGTAGGGAGTTAGGAGGAGAGATAGCATGGGGAGAACTGACAGATACAGGTGAGGGGAAGGAAGGCAGCAAATCACACTGCCACGTGTGTACCTATGCAACAATCTTGCATGTTCTTCACATGTACCCCAAAACCTAAAATGCAATAAAAAAAGAATAATAACAGAATAGACGACTTCTGATGAAATAGAGGGAGAGATGAGATTATAAAGATAATCCAATGAGAAAAAGTGTGGTCTCTTCAAAAATGGACTGGCTATCCATTAGAAGATGGATTTTTTTTGACATTTCATGTGGCTATCTATGTGAAAAACAAAACAAAACAAAAAACCAAGAAACTGGATCCCTGTGTAAAAATTAATTCCAGTCAGATTTTACTGTATATGTGAAAGGGAAAAGAATAATACATCTAGAATGTAATTTAGGAGAATAACTTTATGACATTAGGGTGGGTAAAGACTATTAAACAGAACAGCAAAAGGAAAAGATTGACAAAATCCGACTACACAGAAATTAGAAGCTTCTTTCACTGAAAGACATTCAGAGAGTGAAGAGGCCACATAATGGGAGAAGACATTTGCAACACATCTAACCAACAGAGGTTCATATTTAAATAATTTCTACCATAAATGTAAAGAAGAAACAATTCCATAGAAAAATGGGCAAGCAACTTGCATGGACATTGCACAAAAACGGATATCCAAATGGCCAATAAATAAACAAAAAGATGCTTGATAACATTAGCCGTCAGAATCACAAGGAAATATCACCACATTAGCTAAATTAAAATTATAGATGTTACCAAGTGTTGGGAAAGATTTGGAGTGGAAAGCACTCTCATGTCCATAGGGTTGGTGAGAATGTAAATCGGCACATACATTTTGGAAAACCATTTGGCATTATCTTCTTAACTCCCAGATATATATATATATAGTCTATAATTTAAATATTCCATTCCCAGGTTTATACCTGAGGGACATGTGTGTGCGTGTGCACCAAGAGACATATATGAGAATATTCATGGTAGAATCACTTGTGATAGCCCCAAACTATAGACAACTCAAAACTCCATCAACAGTAGAATGAATAAATAGACATTCATACAATGGAATATGATACAGTAATGAAAATGAATGAACTATAACCAAATGGAATAAATCTAACAAAGATAATGCTATATGAAGAAAACCAGACAGAAAGGATTCTATATGATTTCATTTATGTAGTTTTTAAAAATGAGGCAAAACTATGAATACAATATGTAGTGTTTAAGGATATATCCTGAGGTGATAAAAGTACAAAGAAAATAAAGTAATTGTCATAAACAGGAAAGTTGTTGTCTTTAGTGGAGGCAGAGCCTATAGTTATCGAGAGGGGGCCTGTAGGGTGTTTTGAGCGTACAGAAAATGTTGTATTTCTTTACGCTTAAGGTGGTTACAAATGTGTTTGTAATACTTGAGCTGTACTTTTTCATTTCATGCACAGTTTCATATGTTATAATTTACTTTAAAAAACAAGATAGTGGGGCCAATAAACCAAATGACGACCTGGTATTCTGCTGAGAGCAAATAAGTCCTGAATATATATCTGGGACATTTATTGGTAGCTTCACTCTCCATTTATAGCTTAAATAATGCATTTTCATAGGGCTGTAGTGATAAATTGTCAAAATGAGGAAATGAAAATATGTCCCACTTTTTGATGCCTGTTCAGATTTAAGAGTTTTATAGGCATTTGTCATTACCAGTCAGCTTTGATTTAAAAATCTGACTTAAGGGAAAATCTTGAAAGACAAACGCTTTGTGAGGTAGCTGGGCTTTACATTTTGCAGCATGGGTATTATTTGTGGCTACTTCAAACGAAAGAAAACCAGAGAAAGCGTATTCAAACAACATTCTCTGAAATATTTATTATGTTGAGTCCTCAGAGATATTTGAAAGAATTCTTTTAAGATCTCGTAACGAAAGTGCAAGGTGGGTTTCCTTACGTTGTGTCAATATATCAGAAACAAACCCTATTCACTCCCTATGTGCTGGTATTGAACCTTGAACCGACTGCATTTTTTCAATGACTATAAGCTTTATCATTTAAGTGCTGACAATTTAATGAAAAGAAAAGCTTTTACAAGAAAGATTCGAGGTCAAAGCGTTGTGTCATGGTAGTAGGAGCATATGAGATTGTTCTGCAGAGCTAATTGTTACTACCATTCCAAAACACAATATATTTAACTTAATATTGTAATGGCAACTGGGTTCTGCCGACACCTTCCTGGTCATCCCCGACCTTATAAATGTAAATTTTATGTAAAGCTTTCATAAAATATACATTCACTGAACATCTACCATGTGGACTTGAATATATTAGTGCTGGAAAATTGAACCTCTATGAATATAACATATGTGAAGAGGAACACACACACATAAACACACATACCACACACACACGCACACAGAATGATCGTGGGTTGAAGGCAGCATGCTCTGATCAACACTGTGTATACTCAAGTCTCATCTTCATAATGACTTTGCAAGGTGACCATTTGTTACTTTTTAGAGAAAAGGAAGCTGAGGATCAGAAAGTTTAAGTTATATCCCTAAGGTCACAGAACTAAGTGACAATGACTGTGGAAACCAGAACACACCTTTACCTGATGGTTGCAGGTACCTGACAAACATAGTTTTAGCTTGTACATCTCTAAGCTGCATACTTGCTTTGAAAGACTCAGTCTATTTGTGTAAAGACATATTTCTCAGCAAACTAACACAAGAACAGAAAACCAGAAACTGCATGTTCTCACTCGTACGTGGGAGTTGAACAATTTGAACACATGGACGCGGGGAGGGGAGCATCACGGGCTGAGGCCTGTTGGGGGGATGGTGGGGCCTGGGAGAGGGACAGCATTAGGATAAATACGTAATGTCGATGACGGGTTGATGGGTGCAGCAAACCACCAGGGCATGTGTGTACCTGTGTCACAAACCTCCACATTTGCACATGCACCCCAGAACTTAAAGTATAATTTAAAAATTATCTAGAAAAAAGATATATGAATATTTACCATTTCAAATGGAAGTGAAAGATAAATCTGAACTGTCACAAATATAGGAATGATTTGTCCACAGTTTGCAGAGAAAATAAATATTTTCTAGGCAAGAGTCACATAGCGAGTTCTCTGAATGGGAGAGACAGGCTTTTTGCTTCCTGAAAGCATTTTCCTTTGAAATGCTGGCAAAGGGGAACTTCAGAGGCAGAGAGCCTGCTGCCAAGCTCCGCAGGGTAACTGAAATGCCGTGTGCCCAGTTCCTACCTTCTGATTGATTTTTATCGTCTCTTCCGTGTGGTAGAGGAGGAGCTTTTCCCCGGAAGAAGTCAGGTTCACGTACACCTGGAGGCAGGGGTACTGGGAGCGTCTCCAGCAGTCTGGACCGCAGCTGAAGGAGCAGTTAAATGTTTCCGTGATGGACGCGTTCAGCAAGGTGCACTGAGACTCTTCAGTCCACACGCTGCGAAGGAAAGGGGACAGTAAACACAGGCCCAAGAGCTAGCAGTGAGGAAGACACGGTCTGAGGGAATTATTTCTCAACTCCTGAGGCTGAAACATCTTTTCCAAATCGCTAACATGATCTATCTGTGTAAAGTTTAGGCCTTTGAATAGAACGGCTTTAAGCAAACTGCAGTAGAACTTAGACAAAGTTTGACGCACAGGAAGTTTCTCAGTGACTTCCACTGGATGTGGTATTCTGCAATGCTTGGCTTCAGTTCCTTTGTCCTTATTGAATTCACTGGTAACACGAGCCAGGCTTTGGAACCATCACCTGTCCCGCCCTGAGTTCCCACAGTGCAGGCAGCTTCTCGACGTGCTCCAGCCCCTACCTCTGTGTGTTTTACTTTGTGCTTTCTTCATCACAATTCCCACCCCGGCCCTGTTTGCAGGCATGGAAGGTGTGCGGGTGAAGGAGGGGCAGGCCTCGTGTCCAGCTTGATGGAGGCAGGACAGTGACAGGTGTCTTGAGGCCTTGCTAACAAGGGAAAAAAATGCCTCGACCCTTTCATTATATCGCAAGCGATCACTTCCTGCACATTCCTTTTCCCCGGTTGGTGCTTTGCAGACACGACCTTCTTTTGTTCTCTCAACAACTGTGTAAGTTGGGTAGTAATTTCCTTTTAAAAGTGGGCCAGGTGCAGTGGCTCACACCTGTAATCCCAGCACTTTGCGAGGCTGAGGCGGGCAGATCACGAAGTCAGGAGTTGGAGACCAGCCTGGCCGACATGGTAAACCCCATGTATACTAAAAATACAACAGTTAGCTGGGTGTGGCAGTGTGCACCTGTAATCCAGCTACATGGGAGGTTGAGGCAGAAGAATCGTTTGAATCTGGGAGGTGGAGGTTGCAGTGAGCCAAGATCATGCCACTGCACTCCAGCCTGGGCGGCAGGCTGAGTGAGATTCTGTCTCAAAATAGGCGTGAACTGAGAAATCTCATGACATATGCAAGGACATATAGGCAGTAAGTGATGGGAATCGTGAACCCACCCAATCTCGTAATTCTCAAAGGCCCAGGCTCATTCTATTGTGTCTCCCCACAAACACAATGGAAAAGAAATCCCTTGATGCAGGCTAAAGGGTGAATCAGGGTGCCCTGTGACCTCTCACCTGGAAGGGTTCCAGCTGCACTGTGGCCAACTTGTCATTTTAAAATACCTTTAATTTTATGTTCGATCAACATTTGTAATTAGGAATTAACACACCAGCAATCGATGGTTTGGTTTTGGGCATAAGCTGATCACCACAGCAATGGGAAAACAGGTTTTTAAACTGCAGATTAATACCCTTTCCCTCTGTTGCACGGCCATCTGCAGCTTCACACTCCTTTGCATGCGTGAGGTTTTATTCCAGAAGCAGTTACCAGACCTGATCCCTTCCCTTGGTGTGGCCAATTGTATTTTCCTGGAACACGGGCGGTCAGATTTTGCTTATCTACTGAGGGAAGAGTCTTGGATGGGTCCAAGCAGATGTGAAGATTTGACAGCGCTTTGGAAGCAGCGACCCCCCGGGGCCCGAGGCATCAGCATTTTCATTGAAAGTGAGCACAGCTGAGAAACACAGCAGAGCAGCGCACGTGTGAACGATGAGGCTGTAATTTCAGCAAATGACTGCATTTCAGCTAGATTTTGCTTCTAAAATGAAAGTATTAATTTAGACGGAGAAAGAAATGCCACAGAATGGTTTGATATTCTTTTGGATTGAAACCTCAGTGTTTCATGTGAAAGGGTCTTGCTTCTTTAAGCTGAACTGCTGTGAGACTTTCCCCATTCGATACAGCAAGGCTGGGCTCGCCTGCGTTCAGAGTGTCCAGTTTATGGACAGAAGTTGGCTAGAGATGCTGGGGTGTTTACCACACGGCTCACGTCGTGTGGTTATTGGCCTTCCTGTCCATTCAACAAACTTAGGGCCGACACCGAAACGAAAAGATTCAACATCTGTCATTTTAAAAAGTTGATGCATGTAGGGTTTCTCCACCTAGAAGGCACATGAGAGTCACCTGGGAGCTTGAACAGACACTGCAGCCTGGGTCCCTGTCCAGACCAATTCAGTCTGACCTTCGGGGGTGATGCTGGTGAGGGCTGGGAATTAGTGTTTTTTAAAAGTTTCTGGGGAAGTTGGAATGTTCAGTTGAGAACCGCTGATGTGGAAGGTGATGGAGGGGTTGGGTGGTGGGGGAAAGGGGTGAGGGTGCAGAAGAGACAGAAGCGTGATGTGGCAGGAATAGGAACTTCGGAATACGCAGGATGTGGGCTTGAATCTTAGCTTGGCCACGAGCAAGAGCTGTGTGACACCGGGGACATCACATGTCTCCTGAGCCTGTTTTATAATGAGTATATTTATACTTACCTTAGAGAGTAGTTGTGATAATTAAACAGGTGAAAATCTTTCTTTGACACCTGGTATCCAGGTTACATGTAGAGCTATATTTATCATTATTATTAGGTCACATTATTGAAAGATATTATTTACCAGGAACTTTGCAAAGTTCTTGTCAGGAAAGAAGGTGAGGAAGACGCCCTTCAGGGCGCCTAAGTGACGGGGAGGATGGCGGAGACAGCGGCAGGGTCCCACCTCCCAGCGGCCTTACCTCTGCATGTAGGAGCGCAGGAGTGTGATTCCCAGCAGAAAGTACATCATGATGGAGCACAGCATCATGGCCAGTCCCAGGAGGATGGCACGGTCCTCTCCTGCCTTCAGGGCTGTGACTGTTTTCCTTTTGTCCAGCAGGTCATGGTCCCTGATTTTCTGGTAAATATTTCTGAGGTTGAAAACAATATGGTCTTACACAGAGGTGAGTTAATCAGCCTGCCCGTAGGGAGCAGGCCAGTTTCTGCCCAAGCCTTCCTAGGGCCTTCAAACCTGCTTCAGGGCAGCTGGACTCGGTGTGTGTCCACTACTCACACACAAGCACACACCTGCATGCGTGCATCACACACACAAGCACACACACCTGCACGTGTGTATCACACACACTCACAAGCACACCCCTACACTTGTGCATCATGCACACTCACAAGCACACACCTGCACTCTTGCTTCACACTCTCACACACAAGCACACACCTGCATGAGTGCATCACAGACACTCAAAAGCACACACCTTCATGCATGCATCATGCACACTCACAAGCACACAACTGCACATGTGCTTCACACACACAAGCACACACCTGCACACATGCTTCACACACAAGCACACACCTGCATACATGCATCACACACAAGCACACCTGCATGCATGCATCACACACACAAGCACACACCTGCACGCGTGCATCATGCACACTCACAAGCACACACCTGTACACATGCATCACACACAAGCACACACCTGCACACATGCTTCACACACAAGCACACACCTGCACACGTGCATCACACGCACAAGCACACCTGCACATGTGCTTCACACAAGCACACACCTGCATGCGTGCATCATGCACATTCACAAGGACACTTGCACACGTGCATCTCACACACACAAGCACACACCTGCACGTGTGCATCTCACACACTCATAAGCACACACCTGCACACGTGCATCACACATACAAGCACACACCTGTATGCGTGCATCACACACACAAGCACACACCTGCACACGTGCATCACACACACAAAAGCACACACCTGCATGTGTGCATCACACACGCACAAGCACACACCTGTATGTGTGCATCACACACACACAAGCATACACCTGCACACGTGCTTCACACACTCACAAGCACACACCTGCACATGTACATCACACACAAGCACACCTGCACATGTGCATCACACACAAGCACTCACCTTCACACGTGCTTCACACACACAAGCACACACCTGCATATGTGCATCACACACACAAGCACACCTGAACATGTGCATCACACACAAGCACACTTTCACATGTGCTACACACACAAGCACACACCTGCACACGTGCATCACACGCACAAGCACACCTGCACATGTGCTTCACACAAGCACACACCTGCATGCGTGCATCATGCACATTCACAAGGACACTTGCACACGTGCATCTCACACACACAAGCACACACCTGCACGTGTGCATCTCACACACTCATAAGCACACACCTGCACACGTGCATCACACATACAAGCACACACCTGTATGCGTGCATCACACACACAAGCACACACCTGCACACGTGCATCACACACACAAAAGCACACACCTGCATGTGTGCATCACACACGCACAAGCACACACCTGTATGTGTGCATCACACACACACAAGCATACACCTGCACACGTGCTTCACACACTCACAAGCACACACCTGCACATGTACATCACACACAAGCACACCTGCACATGTGCATCACACACAAGCACTCACCTTCACACGTGCTTCACACACACAAGCACACACCTGCATATGTGCATCACACACACAAGCACACCTGAACATGTGCATCACACACAAGCACACTTTCACATGTGCTACACACACAAGCACACACCTGCATGCGTGCATCACACACCCTCACAAGCACACCTGCACGTGTGCATCACACACACAAAAGCACTACACCTGCATGCGTGCATCACACACTCACAAGCACACACCTGCATGCGTGCATCACACACACAAGCACATACCTGCACACGTGCTTCACACACACAAGCATACACCTGCACACGTGCTTCACACACATAAGCACACACCTGCACACATGCTTCACACACACAAGCATACACCTGCACATGTGCTTCACACATAAGCACACACCTGCACACGTGCATCACACTCACAAGCACACACCTGCATGCGTGCATCACACACACACAAGCACACACCTGCACACGTACTTCACACACTCACAAGCACACACCTGCACGCGTGCTTCACACACACTCACAAGCACATGCATGCCTGTAGGTGCACGGTTCCAAGCAGAAATAAGCCCTCCTTCTTCACTCTGTGGCCAACGTCTAATTGTGATCTGATTTTCCTTCTATCTCATTCCAAAGAAAGAAAACAACCTTCTCAACCCTCAAAATAATGCTTTGGGTTGTTGATGTTACCCTTTAACCCAGAGCTGATCATTACTGATTTTTAAATAATTTTGGAATATGTAATGGCGCATTGATTCAAATAAATGGCAACATATACCAGGAATATGTCAAATGAGTCCTTCATTTCTCTTCAGTAGTGATAGGCAGAAGTTATTTTGGTTACGTTTTTCTCAAGCTGGGGTCTGCTTAGGACTTTATTGGCTTGAGATTGATGAGCAGTGTGAAGATGTGGAGTGGTGACCCGGCCTTCTATTCTCGTATGTGTAAACATTCGCCTGAGTTAGAAAAGTGTCATTCAAATCAAGGCCAGACCCCGTAACTCTGGACAGTTTTATTAGTATTTTGGTTTTTAATTTTAGAGCAGCAATGTAGGGTAAGAAAGAACGAGAGTTTGGAGTCAGCTGTCTCCCGAGTTTAGTGGTTTCACTGCTTATTAGCTGTGTGATCAGTGGAAGTGCCTTAGCCTTTCTGCTCCCCAACTGGCTGCAAAGTGAAAACGATGTTTAAACACATTTTAATGGCTGACATGATACAAGCAAATCCTCCAAGAGAATGACTGACTTACGTAATAAATGTTTCCCTTCAAAAATGGGGTGGGGAGCTACAGCTCAATGACACGGACATCGGAACACCCTGAAATTGCTACTTTTCTCCAAATGACTTTATATGGACAAAATGGCAAGAAAAGGAATAGTATATAAAGCTTAGGAATGGAGGATTGGATTTGAAACCAGGTCTGGAGGAGAAAGCAGAAAAGGAGAGATGGGCAGGAAGGCACTCCCAGAAATTCCTGCGGGCCTGCGACCCAGGCAGCCCCTGATTGCTCAGTTTCTATTTTGAGGCTTTGGATTGCAGGGCAGCGGGAACGGGAACATCGCTGGCCCTTGGAGCCTAGAAACAGTGAGGACAACAAATAAAATGCTGAAAATGGAAAAAGAAAGTCAAGTCATTTTTTTTTTTAGCTTCAGGCAGAAAGCCAATATGCCCAAGAATAACTTCAGATTTTTCATTCAAATTTTTTATCACTATTCACTCTTGTTGCTTGGGAGAGGACCCAGAGTAGACTCTGAAGAGGAGCTTTGCAGGGAGGGAAGATACCGGTGGTCTGCACAGTGGTGCGTTTCTCCAGGGCTTGTATTTAGCTGACTGGTGTTTATGGCCACTGTCTGTTCCGAGCTGGTTTTTAAATATTTTGATTCCTTATAGAGGTCATAGAGTGTGTATGTACTTAATATATTTCCATGAGTTTGTCGGGCTGAGTATTTATTAATCTAAATATTGGTTGTACAAAACGAACTAATCAGCTTATGATTTTTATTTTGACATTTTCTTTATGAAGTGGTTTACATGAACCTTACTCTCCCTGTGAAGTGTGCCCACTGCATTGCAGCGGGAGCGTCGGAGCTGCACACAGGCCTCTGCTCACCTGCGTTTCATGGCCCTGCCCATCCTGGCCTCTCTGGTTCTCACCTGCTCTTGGCTGCTCACGGTCCTTGCCAGAGGCCTGGAGGGCCCACGGCTTTCATTGCTCCCCTGCTCCCAGTCCCAGTGCCCCTGGAGTCGCTGGCCTGCCCTGCTTTTGACTTCCACAGCTTGGCAACTGCTCACCCTCTGTGTTTCTCTATTTGTTTTTGAGATTCTCTTTGGAAATTGTAGGATTTATATCAAAGCTTTTTAAACTTCACGTTTTATGAACTCTAATTTAAAAAACATCTTGTCCGTTAGCAGCTAAAGCCAGTGGGCAGAAAGCTTTCTGAATCAGGAAGAGACAGAGTCTAAGTAGCTTCAAAGACCTGCTGTAAAACAATGATCTGCTGTTACTTCACTAGTACTATTTATTAACATGTATTTAACTCTGATGACTGCCATTGAGATCCATATTCCTGCAGATGGAGGACAGCAAGGAGGGAGCACGATCTCACAATTCCGGGTGTTCAACTGTCACATAGCATCACTTACGTCAGCCTATCCCCATAAAAGAGAAGTGTAATCAGTCAGTTGTGTCACCAGAGCATGAAGCATACAAAGATGATTCGAACGTGTGGTTCAAAAACAAATCACAATTTGAAAGTGGTTAGCAAATGTTTTTGATATGTTCCGGAATGTAGAGAGATGGGAAAAGGGAGTGATTTTCATACAGCCCGAAAGAATCTGAGAAATCAGGTTACTACCCAGCAAAATGAAAGTGGGTGAGTGGAGTGGGCCACACCCATGGAATTCATTAGTCAGTGATTATGGAATTAATGTAAAATAAAGAAATGAATAAATGACTTAGAAGGGCGAAGAGTTCAGTTTAGGTTCACAAACTTCTGAATGCTGGCAACCTCTTGTGATTGGAGATATGGCCCCTGCCCAAAAGGAAAACAGACATGTATATAAATATCAGCATAGGATGAAAAGTTTAATGATTGAGCAATTCACAGATATTCCCATGTGTTCCCATAATAATGGGAGTACGGAAGACGGGGGGAATACCCCAGCCTGAGGGAGCAGGACAGAGCAAGGGTTGAATTTAGAAAGGGATCCTGAAGGAGAAACACGTAAAACAAAATCTTCGAGGTTGAATCAGAGTCAACCAAATGAGGCAAAGAGTTAAGGGTGTTTTAGACAGAAGGACTCACGTGAAGGAAGGGATGGAGACCTGCAATGGCAAGGCGAATATCAGAAATGACAACTGTTTTAATATTACTGAGATGCCTATGGGTTGGGGGAAAAAAGAGGCAGAT